TGTTCATTCAATAGATGATTTAGTCAGCTCCAGCTGTGCTGCGGGCTCTGTCCTAGGTGCCAAGGACTCTGGTTGGGGGTGTATACACTAACCTGGGCAATGGCAATGGCGATGTCCCGCGCCATTAAATAGTGTAATAGGCCAATGTCATATACCTATCATAACATATCACCAAGTAGGGTGCTGTCAGGCCCTGATGGGCAGTGAGGTCAAGCAAAGGGTGACTGGAGAGAGAACCACAGGTGGGAAAGGGGATTTATTTTATTTTTTTTATAGTTTAGGTGCCTTTCCAAGGAGATGACATTTAAGCAGAGAATGGATGCAGGGAGTGAGCCATTTGGATGTCTGGTGGGAAGACTGTTGTAGGCAGAAGGTACAGTACGTGCAAAGGCCCTGAGGTGGGAACTAAGCTGGTGTTAGAAGATCCCAGAGGCCTCTGAGGGAGGTGGCAAGGTATCTGGTGAGGCTCTTGTGGACCCTGGGGAAGATCTCAGACTGTACTGTAAACACAGGGAAGCCCTTGGCACGCTGTGATCTGATATGTAGAAAAATCTCTTGAGCCCCTTCCATGGGCTGCTGTGGAAGAGGATAAAGTACTGACCCACAGGCACCCCACTCTGCAGCTTACAGAGGGATTTCAGGCATCTTGTATCCATTCTCTCAAGCATAACAGGAACCACAGGAATGGTAAACTGAGGCTCTGAGAGATTACGGACTCCAGAGGCAGGCCATGGCACAGGCAAGCTGCCCAGGGGTCCCAAGATGGACCAGGACTTCTCTGAGTCTGGCTCACGCAGCATAGCCTGAGGGACTGGCCAGTGTGGCCTCTCAGGACCTGAGTGTGGACGTGGCACCCACCTTCCCAGTCTGACTGCCCTGACCCTGATGGCCCAGACCCATCCTCCTTACCTCCATGCTCTCCTCCTCAGACAGGTTCCAGGGACCCACATCTAGGCTCCTCTCCATGTGGAGGAAGGAGACCTGGGGCTTTGGAGGGGGTCGGGGGCTGCCGTCCTTGTCTGGGACCCCCGTGGGGGACACAGCGGCAGATAGGTCTCCTAGGCCCGGGTTGTTCTGGTGGAGGCCCAGGCTGATGGCATCGTACAGATCATCGTTCTTCGGCTGGGGGCAGTGGGGACACAGCAGGACTATGGTCACACACCCACCCAGGCTCCAGCCGCTCGCCAGAGACTGCTGGCGAGGGCCTGAGACATGCCCACCGGCCTGAGCTTGGGGAAGTCACTGCCTCAGTCTCCCCTTTTAAAACAGGGACCATGACCCAGTGCTGAGTGCCCCTGCATGGCAGGAAACAGGGAAGGAAAGGCATGTGGCCCCGAGTGGTGGACACCCCAGGCCTGGGCAACCCGCCCACCGCCCTTGCCCCGGAGAAGAGGGGTGCCTACCCGGGGACAGGCAGTGGCCAGGGTCTCCCCAAAGGGCTCAAACTGCACCTCGTGGTAATGGTGCACGAGCTCGCCCAGGCTGCCGTGGCTGCGGGTGTCCCCAGCGACCACGTAGCGCCGGTTTTGGAGCTGGGTGATGACAAAATGCCGACATCGGTTGCTGCCCCTGCAACACAACACACTGGGCTGACCGCTCGGGCCTTTGTGTGTCCCTCCGCAGAGGGGGCGGACATCTGACAACCGCTCTCGGTGGGTGGGTGGCTGTGCAGGGTCGAGAGGTTCCCGGGAAGCACAAAGCCCACCCTGGGGGGCAGGGGAGGGACGCACTCAGCTTGGTGCAAAATATAAAGGGCCCCACAAAACTCGGTCATTGAGACTAACGATCCCCTGTTTTAGAAAGTCAGAATTAATACCGAAAAATCCATGAGAAACAAAATATCAAAGTCTTAAATAAAGATGAGGTCAGACCTGCACTTGCAGGAGGCAGCCTCACCCGCCCCACGGTAACCCCAGCCGTGCTGAAGGGACGGTGCCCAGCTCCCGCGCCCGCTGCACAGGCCTCCTGCCTGGGCAAATCTATCTACTAGAAATGCTCCCCGCCCGGCCGGGCGGGGCTCAGTGGTTAAGCGTCGACCTAGGATCCAGGCGATCAGGGTTCGATTCCCGGTCAGGGCACATGCCCGGGTTGCGAGCTGTAGCCGATCAATGACTCTTTCATCACTGATGTTTCTATCTCTCTCTCTCTCCTTTCCTCTCTCTGAAATCAATAAAGATATATTTAAAAAAAAAAATTAAAAAATAAATTAAAAAGTAGAAATGCTCCCTAAACCCCAACCACACCTTCTCTGCCTAGCAACTTGCTATTCTTTCTTCTGTCCCCGGCTCAGGGTTCGCCTCTGATTCCTGCCCCTCACTCACCCCCTTTGCTGGCGGGGGCTGCACCCTAATATGCGGCCAGGGAGTGAGGGAGCCAGGGCCCAGGGACAGCCCGGCGTGCGGGCTGGTGGGCCTCTGTGCTTATGTGCAAGGCTGGGTTATGGGAGCCTTCGAGCGCCCCCACACCCAGGGCTTCCTTTCTTACCTGTAGGACAGGATGTAGCCGGTGGCCCGGTCACTGAAGCGAATGAGGAAGGAGCCCAGAGGCTGGTCCCTGAGCAGCTGCTCCGCCTGCCTGGGCAGAGGACATGCCGTGAGCTGGGGCCTGTGTCCTTCGAGCAGTAGGAGCAGCCTGAGTTAGACCTACCTGGCAGTCCCCGCGGGCCATGCCCTTGGGTGCCAGACCCAGTGCACAGACCTCCAAACCTCTGCAGACGGGTCTGTGGTCTGTCCGGGCCCAGTTGAGCAGCTCTGGGTTGGAGCCCTGAGGCCACATGTACCACCCCCCGCGGCAGCCTCACCAGCAGGCACAGTAGCCACTGACCCTCACCACCCACCTGAATGGCTCTGCAGCAAGAATGAACCCATATAGCTGGAGAGTTTCAGGTTTGCGGGGTCCTTGCTCAGGACCACTGTGTGCCGTTCTGTAGGGCGTGCTCTGCCCAAGAGTTTCTGTTATGTCCGGAGCCTGGTCACAGTGGCATGTCCCCTTCAGCCCCAGGCAGCTATGGATGTTTCTAAGTGGTGCCAAGTATTTTGCAGGCATGGTGGGAAATTCCAGCTGTCGCCTGGTTTGGCAGCACGGAGACCAGATAGTGCCCCAGCCACAGACTCACCAAATACTGAGTGTGTGCTCTATGCAGGACCAACTGCACAGTGTGCAGGGCCCAGTTCTGAGTGAAAATGCAGAGCCCCTCACTCAAGTAACTTCAAGACAGTGACAGCAATGCATGAAACCAGGCATAGGCCCCCCTGAGCAGAGGGCCCCGGGCTCCTCAGTCTGTTCCCCT